TGCCTGATATATATGTAGGTCTTTTTCTGTAGATCACTGAAAAATAGTGATTTTAGAAATACTTTTCCATCTGATTTCTTACTACATTATGTTCTCTGTTGCTACCAATTTACTGCATAGCCTATTTCTAGTTAGTATGATCTTATGTTTCATGTTAGTAGTGCTTTGAACCAATAATTGCCTATGAATAGAGTCTGGAAGGTTAATAATGTTGTGACTACATCTGAAGTTTATATTTGCCTCTTCATCTTCCCCTCCTGGATGAATATTTAATTTACAAAAGAAATATTCCAAGTGATGTTTTTCTTGTTTACAATTTTTCTATTAGAAAATATGCAGCCTACTCTTCTGGCACATCCTTTTTACTCACTGGCTTACTTTCAGGAAGCCCAGAATAAAAATGCATGCTTGAGTGTAGTAATGCTAATGAATATTACATCAGCTGGTACAGGGGACCGTACAGCATTAAGTGTTTCACATCAGAAGTCAGTTTTCTAAGGAACTACAGTACCTAAAAACTTCAGTTTTTCCTTTCTTTATATAGAAAAACATTGGCTTGAGTCAAATAGGTATTAAGACAAAGTAAATGTTTTACCTGTAACCAGAAGCCAAAGTGCCCCTTTGGTTAAATCTTATGATTTACCACTTATTTTTAAAAAAAAACCCCAAAAAACCAAAAAATCCCAGCAGCTCTGTAAATAAAGGTATGGTTAGCAAGTGGCTCTGGCATCTGCCTGTTCTTGGAGTGTATCCAGGCCACAGATAGCTCCCATCACACAGACACATTAAAGAAAATTAATGTTTTTCATTAAGAATAATGTTTAGCAATTGTTCTTCACTAGTTTGTTCAGACAGATAGTTTTCTATGTGTTTAATCAGATTACACAACGGGAAGAAGCCAAGAGAAGACTGGATGATTAGTTAACAAACTCAGTTTGGGGCAGCTGAAGCTAGGTGTTCTTTCGAATTTGCTAACTCAGATCAATTTGGTTGGATAGCTTCAGTGAAATTCAAATGTACCATGTTGGTTTGAAATTGCTTAAGAAGCGGTAAAACTAATCTTTCATTTTCTGGCACTTAAAAGAGAACAAAATAAAAAACTTCAATCACAAAATACTGGGTGAAGGAATGTTTTTATTCTTCTTATCTACGAACCTAGCATTCCCATAATGTGTGGGAGACCTGGGCCTTCCCCCCCCCCGTTATAGGATAAATCAGGGTGAGCTACAGTGTGTCACCTGTTACCACTTCTTCACTTCTGTATTAAGTTATCATCGAACAACCTAGGCCTTCATCACTTGAGTGAGTGTCTCAGTTACCTTCATATGCACATGCCCGTACTGTCTTGTTCTGCCGGTTTTTCTGTGCCTCCATGCTTCCTTTCTCCCTCTCACTCACAAAGCAGAACAACTGCTGCCGTCTCTGCTTCCCCTGTGTTCTAGGAATGAAGCCATTTGTCTCCTTGCAAATGATGAAATAATTTAAGTTTTAAAAAATTGAATTCAGTCTGGAGGAGATATTATAATATTTCATTTTGATGCATACATCCAAAAATGTTTTCTTTGGATTATTTGACTAGAAGTTTTACTGATTGCCTGGTTTGGCCACCAAATAGAAGGAAGACAACTGCCCAAGCTGATAGCTTCGTTAAGGAGTTTTTTAAAAAGGTTCATCTTAGCTTGCAAATTTCTGTCACGTCTAAATTACAGATACTGTTGTAGATCTCAGAACATGTGAAACATCACTAACAAAGCTGAGAAACTTTGAAGTTCGAATACAGCACACTAACCCATCTGGCAAAGGAAATTCACGTTAATTATAATAGTAGTATGGCCTTTTGTCAGCAAGCTGTTGGAAGGGGTTCAGAGGGAAGCTGAAGTATAAGATCAGTGATGATCAGTAACGATCATCACCAATTAATTGGAGAAAAGGAACCTGATTTGTGGATTTGAAGTGAAGAGCAAACTCTGTTTGAATAGAAGGAAGACAGTATACTGTCTTGTGTATAGGAGCAGCAGTTCTCCATCCATAAACCTACTCAAAAATGGAACAGTAATTCTTTCTTGTAGCTGCTTACAGAGGTACAGAAACCAGATTTAGTAAAGGAAGCTATGTAGTTCTCATAATACATGTGTCTGTTCAAGTTACAGGTTTTGAGTTGTCTCCAGAGCACATGAAGTCTATGAACATCTGTGTTTCACATGAATAGTGCTTACACAGCAATAAATCATCTTCATCTGATATGCTGTGAACAGAAACTTTTTACTCAAAATAATAAGCTACCAACAGACCGAACAGAGAAAGTTTTTACAATGTTTTCAGGCCCTTACTTAGTTGCTCTGTAGAAAAAAAAATTAAAATAGGACAAATTGGTCAAGTAGAAATAATTCTTTCTAAGCTGCGAGTGTCTCCAAACAAAAGGTTCGCATTCATTTTTCTTCTTTAGTATCAGGATTCATTTCTGGGACATAAAGACTTGTATAAATTCTAGAGAGAAGGCAGCACAAGAAATGGTAAAAGCAGAAATTTGGACTTGAAGTGAAGACAAGTCAAGGTACAATGTAGTTGAAGGTAGTGGTCATAAAGTAGGGGTACAGCATGTCCTTTCTCTGAAAGGAGTTGAAATTCTGGGAATTGATAGAGGCTCTGTGGTTTGCATCATTTTAAGCCTTCAGAGCACAGTTCTGTAGAGGCTTAGAGAGTACTTGAATAAGAGCTATGATCCATCTGGGAATGGAGAAGGGCCTCAGGAAAGGGAAAGGAGAAAAGGCATCCTTTGAAGGAGAGAAGCCTGCATGCTCAACCAACGTGAGAAAGAACAGAACCATGAGCTCGCAGGAGTACGTTTAGCCATCATGAAAAAGGATTCCTACAATTTGGAGAGATCTGGGATAGCTCATTAGTGTCTCCCTTTGGACAGTGCAATCCTGACTGTGGCCATGAAGTTAGTGAGAAATAAGGGCTTTGCACAGCGTGTCTCCTTTTCTCTTATGTAACACAAAATATACCAGAAATGCTATGAGAATGAATTGTGGAAGGATATAGACACCTTAGCCCGCTTAGTAAATCTTCATCCAGCTTTTGTGGTGCTGCATCAGAAAGAACCACCAGTGTGCAGCTGAAGTTACAAGCAACTCTTTAGCTAGCTAAAGCTACAGTGCTTCCTCAACTAACAAATTGCCTGCAGTATGCATGGAAAAAAAATGAAAGCAACACTGAAGAAGAGAAAAAGAACATAGATTAGTGTAGAGGAAAGAATAGGATGCAGTCACAGGTTATAATCTGTATCATATCCAATTTGCAGGGGCATATAACATCATTTGAATCATTTCAAGTCACATGAAATTCTAAGGAAGCCAGCTTCTTCCTTTCATAGTTTGAATTTGGTTTCTGTAAGGCTGGAAAGTAGAAGTATATAAAAAATGGAAAACAGACCATCCTTTTTCACATGCTCCCAAAAAGAAAAGGCAAGAGACATAAACGTTTTTCAGGAGGCATGGCTCAGCAATAAAGCACACTTGGAAGTCAGATACAGCAGCAAAAATACTAATTTACCTTACTAATTATGTATGCTCCTTCTGTGCAGAAGGCAGTTTTTCAGAATTTCACAGCTATGATGCTTCCAATAGCAAATTTGAGAAGGGCAAATACAAGTTTTTGCTGAAAGTTCAGAAAACCTACCAAATAGAAAAGACTCCTTCTTCCTTTCCCACCAAAAAAATCCCCACAAATTTATCCTTACAAACAGGTATTGTTTGTTGCTTGTGTGTCAGCCATTATAGACATGTCTACTCTAATAATTCAATTGAGAGGGGAGAAAATCAAATCTGAAGCGTGATGTGCCAAATTCTGGTTTCCATTGGTTTTAATCTACTGCTTTATATAAATGGACTTTGTAGTGGTACACCTTCAGGATAACAATAAGCACAGACTTAGGCCTGCCTCCTAGTTTGTGCCATAATTATTGTGCAAGTTGAACTATGGATTGTACCTATGAGATGGAGGTGATTTGAAAAGAAATAGTTTAAGAAAAGTACTTGATGGACAACAGTCAGTATATGCAAAAGAGATGTAATTCTTCACTGAAGAAGGGGTTCCTTGCATGAAACACATCTTCGTATTTTTCATAAAGCAACACAAGTTCATAAAATGTACTCAAATTTATATAATTCCTCTCCATTGTGAATGCAGCCATTAATCCTATCCTGCTGACTTATTTTTCTGGAAGGTGGCTCAGCTGAAGCAAATATTAGACCAACAAGCAAATAATTTCAAGGAGTCACTGAAGAAACATAATCTACAGTCCAGCAAAGAAAAAGAGAAGCTTTTGCAGGATCTTCAAAACACTATTAAAGAAAACCAGAATGTTAAACTACAGCTGGAGGCATCACATCAAAAAGTCTTAAAAATGTTGGAGAAAAGCAAAATTCAGGAACTCAAGGTCAGTTTACAATGAACTAGTTTAAAAAAAAAAAATCTTATTTGTGGTATAAACCATATTAGCTAGAGCCAATTATCAAAACTAGCTTATCTGAAGTTATCTTAATGATGGGTTGCTGTTGTTGCACGTAATGAATTATTCTGTGATTTTTGAAATCTCCTCACCTTCACCTTGGTTTTTTTTTCATTTTAACATTTGAACTTAGACCACAGTGTGAATGAAATAGTTTCGTAAAATAATATAGCCTACCTTCTACAGTTAGACTGCGATGAATACAAGCTCCTCTAGCTGTGCTCTTGCTTAAGAAATGCAAGGGAATTCCTAAGTGTATTGTTAACAGGACACAGTTTTATTCTTTTTCATCTATTATTAATTTATACATAAATACATTAAAAGAAATATAATAGAAATGTATAATGATGTGTGTTGCCTTAGATACCTTCAAGAAATCAATTCTGTAAGTGGATAACCAAAGCTTTTAAAGGGTCGAGTGGATTCATGTCAGTAACAAAATGTTAATGCAGTATATTGAGGTTCTAAAGAATACTGCTGTTTGAGCTGAGAAAAAAAATTAACTTAAAAAAATCTACATGTGATTGTGCCACGGCGTTCAGATGTCCCTGTTGATATCATGCACTTTAGGGAAAACCTCCTGATAAAACATACGTAGTAAAACCACCCTAAGTGGAATTTAATATCTTGTTTAGATATTCAGAATAAAATCACAGCTTTAATAAAACCAAGCTGAAGGCAGTAAGCTGGTAAAAATGAAACTGAGGATAGGAGTTTGCTTTCAGAGCCATTGCAGAGCAACTCCTCTGTTGCTTCCAGTGTATCAGCAGCACTTCTAACAACGATGCATAAGTAATGATGTACAGGTCAAATCTGGGGGGCTTTGTATGTTGAATAATAAAACATCTTTCTAATGCCAAATACTGCAAAGATGTCAGTGTTATTATTTCAAGATGTACAACAAATCTAACATGATATCTTGATAATTTCTCTTGTGCCTATTAAGTTTTTTTTTTTAACTTCAGTTCATTTTTATTCCTGTGTTGATGAAGTGTCATGTAAAGTGATGATGAACATAAAAGTTCTACTTTGAAAGACCAGATTCATCCTGGCGTTACAGGTAAAACAAGGTGATAAATAGGCTCCAACTACTTTGGTTTTTTTTGGGGGGGGCTTTTGCTTACAGGAGACAGAAGAACGTTTGAAAAAGGAATTTGATGAGACTTTCAAGATGCAACATCAGTCTCATAGGCTGGAAATACAAACCTTGGAAGAGAAAGCAAAGAAAGAATTACATGATGAACTTGAGCAGATACAGAAGCAGCAAACCCTGTTGCTAGGTATAATGTCTCATGTCATGCACAGTTCCTACTGCTTGATTATATGCTGAGAAGCACTGACTTTTCTCTCATTCATTTTCTTTCCCATCTCTGGGAACTCAGGTCTTTGTGAATCTCCTCTTCCATACCCTGCAATTTCAGCAATATAGACTTAATGTTCTTTGTTAACCTAACTCTCGACTGTCAGCAGCAGAATGTTGCAGGGAGAGTAGTCTGGTGTACAACATTCAAGTATGCGTTATCAGGTATATTAAATTGGAATATGGTAGTTAGTGTTTATGATTTTCCTCTTTTTTTCTGTGATATAAAGAATTATTGTATGTGGTTCAAGTCTGTTGTATTGAGTTCAGCAGTGGAGATCAGTTGCTCCATGTGTATTGTTTAGTCAGTTTAGAAAGTTCCCTAAACTGTTCAGAACTAAACAGAACACTGCATTAGGAGGACCTGTAATATCTCCGGGTTTGAACTCAGGTTATTAGAGCTCATCTACAAATTCAAGAAAGAATAATTTGAAAGTATTTTGAGTATAAACTGGATTCTTTGCTTGGGGCTTTTTTCAGTAATTCAAATTTGCTAGAAAGATTTGTTGCACTCCAAAGTTTATATATTCAATAGGTAAATTCTGTCCTTTTCAAGAAAAGTTGTAGAGAGACAGTAGAAAGAGAGAAAAAATTTCTTTCTCCTTATACTTGATCCATCCCAAAACTTGTACCCAGTATACACAGAAGTTGCAGTGTATGACAGATCACCTTACATTGGTGTTATACTTCTCTAACACAACCAGAGCCGCCCTCAGTCTGCCTTATAGCTCTCTATAAACACCAGTGGACTTAACAGGGAAGCTCAGGGGTCCTCCAGTAAAGTTCAAGGTTAGAAGAAACAATTGTAGTGATTTAGTCTGCAAAACAACTGCCACAGAATTAGCTCTCTGATTCCGATGTTGAATCACTGCTGTTGTAGCTCTGTATCTTCTTACTATTGCTCAGCTGAGTTACTTCTCTAGTAACAGGAGGCCTGTCTTTTACCAGAGTGTTTATTATACTTAATGGTGAAGGAGTTGAGGAACAAAGCAAAATGTAATGTATTAATGTTTTCATCTACACTGTCTATATCCACCTTCCCCATCCAGCTGGCCTCTGACTGCGTTAATGATTGTCTGTCTGATTGTTACTAGGATCTCTAAGGATGGAACTCTCTGAGCAACAGACATCGTGCACTAATCTCAAGAAACAGATAGAAGAACTCCAAATGGAGCTGAGGAGTGTGAGGACACTGAAGAAGCAACAGGCAAGAATCCAGTTCCTACTTTGTTGCCATGTTGTGTTTTGCAAAAGCAATAGTATCAAATTTCTCTCTCCGGAGATAATAAAAGTGTACAGAATCTCTTACAGAAATGGACTGAATTTCATTTTCTTATGTCACACTTTAAAATGCTAGTATTGGTCATTATCTTTTCCCTATGAGCAGGCTTTTTTTTCCATTTAAAGATTAGAAACTACAAGTAAATGAATGAACGTTACAATAAAATAATTTTTATGGGGACAATAAAATATGTTCAGGAAAAATTTTTGAACACAGATTTTGTCTTGCACATTGAAATGTACATAGAATTGAAAAATCAGTTCACAAAAAATTCAATGCACACATTTCCGATGAGCTCTTCATGTTAAACAATTAGAGGCTGTGGATAACTAAATTTGACCTTTTTCTTAGGAAGGAAGTAGCCAGAGCCAGATCAGATCTCTTCATGATGAATTGGAAAAATGTCAGAGTGAAATTTCTGAACTCAGGAAAGAGAATTTACTTTTGAAGGACACAATGGAGCTACTCAGCGCCGAGTTGGAGTCACAGAAGCAAGAAGCTGCACAGCTTCAGGATAGGGAGAAACTGCACAGAAGGTTTGCCTTAAATTCACGCTTCACATTTCAGTCTTCAGAGTCAATAATAATGCCAGAATCAGAGGTGTTCTAAATGTCAAGAGTGTCCTAATCTCTCCTTTCTAAAGTACTAATTTTAGAGGTTATGAAGTTTTGGAAAAGCAGTAGTTAATTTCACATTTCTTTCCAGCCATAATAAAAGCATTTGAACTAACTGTTGCATTATGTGTCACAGAGAAATATGTCCAGTGTAGCTCTACAGGAGTGACCTGAGAAAATCTGTGTAACATCAGCCTTTGAAAGGCACTAGAAGACATAAACAAATCCCAAACTCACCCAGAGCTATTGAAAAAATGTAGAAGTCTCTGAGAATAAATACCAGGTTTTTTATACGTACTCTGTGTAGCTGAAACCAATGGGTTGTTAACCCTAAAGGGGACACCTGAGAAGGCCGTATGTACTGCGTGAGACTCTGCTTTGGCTGCAACAGCCAACTTTGCGCTGGGGGAGTAGGGGCAGTGACAGCAGACACTGACAGCGCCTCTGGGCTGATGGAAGCCTGGAGCTGTAATATGCTGTCTGGGCACAGGAAGGGCAAGGTGACTTGCAGTCTTGGTTGTCTTTGTAGAAGGTGAACTACATCCTCTTAGTTAGCCACAGGTTTGGAGCATGTGTTGCACTGCAGTAATGGCAGTCTTCATATTTGTGTACAAAGTGCAGGACTTACTTGCCTTTTACGTGGGAGAAAAGACTGGGGTTCACTGTCCAGTGCATTTGTATGGCTGCTGAATCCTTCAAAATTTCTGGATGATTGTACTTAACACATTCTCTTTGCAGAGAGATTGAGGGATCTGGTGCATGGGTACCTTTCAATTAATTTCTGCAGTGATGTAGAATGTATGCTCCTAACTGCTCAAGCTGTATCTATAAAAGTATTTCTGAAGGGTACACCCTTAAAGGAATCTGTAAAATTGTGTCCTTTGTAGTCTGGAGAAAAGCACTCAAGGGATACACTGTTTCTTGGCAGACTGTCAGAGTGGCCACAGTAATTTTGTTGCATATACTAGTCAGTAGATATTTAAAGAATGAGAAAGAAACTTTTTTCTTTTTCCTTTGCACTCTTGCGAGGGTTACTTGAAAGTGTCTTTCATTTCAAGCTTTTGAAGCAAGATCAACAGAAAGAATTGCAAACCAGAGAGTTTCATCAGTGCCCTCAAGCTGCCTTGAAGGATTTTAAAGCCTCTGTTCATGAAGAGAAGAATTATTCATATGTCAGCGATGAGGTCTAAATGGCCTCAAATGCTAAAGCTGCTGGGCTGGAGGATAATCTTTACAGGGGATAGATGGTGTAGCTGTAGCTCTACAACAGTAAGCATTTGAGAAGGAAGCACTAATGGAAATTATGTAAGGAGAAATCCTTCAAATAGCAGGAGATAGAACCAAAAAGCTCAAATGGTCCCGGGCACCTGATGCAGGCTATGCTGATATTAACCCATGGAAGATCTGGAACATTAACTTGCAGCTCTTGTTTTGCTTTTGCAGGACCAATAATTTGGGTAGGGCTATGGTTAAATTGGTGAGTGCATACATACAGCTTTTTTACTGTTACGTTAACAACAGTGACCTTCTCTTATGCTATGTAGTTGTTTCTGATTGGAAAGCTGATAGTGGCTTGTTATTTGCATGTGCCAAATTTTTATAACAAATTATTTAAAATTACTATTCCTTCTGTTGCTAGGTAAGTGAAACCAGTAATCTGCTTGAAGTAATCACAGAATCAGAGAATCATGGAATGGTTTGGGTTGGAAGGGACCTTAGAGATCGTCCAGTTCCAACTCCCCTGCCATGGGCAGAGATGCCTTCCCAGTTCCATTCTCTTGAATTGTGTGAATTCCACCTCCGGTACAGGAACCTTTTGCAAGGACTAGAATGAGATTAGACTAAAGGTTTTTTTATGGGAAGAGAGAACAAGTCTCAAAATGCCTATTCTGAAGGAAGGCTTTTATTCTGCTCCTGAAGATCTATTTCAGAGATTCTGCTCCCATTTTTAGTCTTACTCTTCTGCTTCTTATTTTGTGCCATATCAATCACTCCCATGGCTGTGCTCGAACTTCAAGGGCAGAAACCTTTTGTGGGCCTTCTGGCCTTTCCAGAAGCATTTCAGAAACAAGTGAAAGGGGCTTAGAAATACATTAAAAAGAAAGAAAGAAAAAAAAAGATGAACTGAATACCTTTTGTGAAACTTACAATTGTTAATCTCCTGAGTGTGACTCTCCTGAGTTTAGAGTCCTATTTTAATCAGTAAACTACAGAACACGGGCTCTGCGTTGACTTAATGAAAAAGTTTCTCCAAGGTTTAAAAAAACATTAGCAAACAAAAGGCAACAAGCTAACAATGGTTCCTCAGTAGATGTCTGTTGGTTTTGGGGTTTGTATCAGAAAGCAATGTTATGGCTAGGCTTGAAAAAATGTTAGGCATCTTTTAGTTTTCAGTTGACAGTCTTAATCAAATAGCAGTATCTTTCAAAATGCAATGTTTGTTAAAGACAAATGCAGAAGTTAAAGGCATTGTTATAACATTTCTTACCTTCATTTTTTTAAAAAAATATATTTTTAGGATGGTGGTAGGCAGCATTAAATGTTTCTGGTGCCATGATGTGATGAAATAAAGCATCGGAGCCTTATGTTAAAATCTCAGCGATTTCAAAATAATTTTGCTTGATACAAGTGAATTCCTATGGTACTTTATTGTCATATTTGACCATTCAGATTGATGTACAAACTAACCATAGACAGAATATCAATAGCATCATTATATAGAACAGACCCTCCATTTCCTGAAGGCTGAAGGTCTCCAAATAATTTTCCTCTTCCTCAGTGTTAGTGTGGTTCTGCTTCAGATTGCAATTGAAGTGTCAAAGTCTAATCAGTAAGCAGAAGCCCAGAGCTGCACGCAGTTAACTGCTTTTGTAGTCCATAAAAGACCTCAAAACTGCATGCTTTGATCAATGATAACAAACTAGTATTGAAACATGAGAATTCAGACATATTTTAATACCAGTGAAAGGCTGCTGGTAGAAGACCTTAATATCAAGCATAGAAAAGGACTGGACATACTGAAACAAGATCACCGGAAGGAAATTGAAAACATACTATCTGATTTCAGCAGTACTCGGGTACATCTCCAAGCAAAGATTTTCTCCTTAGAAACTGAGTAAGTCGTTTAAAGAAACTGGCTCATACTGGCAATGAGTTCTGTTTGAAATTCTTATTCTTAGTATGTATATTTTTTTTGTTACTCACAGGTAGACTATTATAAGCAGCGAATTAGAATTGTATAGGTATTTCCTTTGCAAACACAAAAAGACCCAGATATTTTGTAATAAACTCTGAATATTGTTTAATATAAGGCACTATATATAGTTTTACAATGCTAAATTAAAACCTGTACTTAGCATCTTGCTATCCTATGCTAATTCTATGGAGTGCAAAATCGTCTTTATCACAGCTGATACCAGAGGCCTTGATCCATGATCTTGTGTTCGGCAGAGCAGCGTGTTTGAGGCTAAGGTCTTGCTCGTTCTTACTTCCTTGCAAATTTCCCAGGACAAACCCCACTAACTCACATAAATAAATAAATGAACTTTGCAGCCTCCTGTGGAGTTAAGTAGTTCTGTGGTGCTTCAAACTGTACAGAGAGGCCCCTCAGAAATAATCCCTGTGATTATATATATCCCTGATCCTTTTCTCTTACTCAGCTGTGCAGCATAGGTCCAAAAGAGAGACCTGCTTGCACATAAGCAGGTCTCAAACCATTCTATCAAAGCTCTGAGATACACTAAATTGAGAGTATTGAGATGGGAGGTGAAATCCTCTCAAAAATATTTACCCTCACCAAAAAAAACCCACAAAGTGGTGGTTTGTATTCTGTAACACGTTTCTCAGTATGGCAGGTGAACTTCATATCGCTCAGTTTCTCAAGCAGCAAAATTAATGAATTTGATTGATGAAATAATGACTTGTTTTCTTATGGATCAATCAAATGTATGTTTCCACCCCATCTCTAAGAAGGTGTAAGTTCTCAGGTGAATCTTTTCCCTTGATTAAGGCATTTGAGGAGCTGAACTTACACTACAGGTTTGGACTCAGAGGGTTCACTAAAGCAGCATGTATATCCAAGCCTTTCTTTTCATGAAAGTTGTAGGAATTGAGTATTTCTGAGGCTTCTATCAAGTATGGTTGGAATTAGCCTGTGGATTCTGAAGTTACAGGGTCAGAAAAGAGAACAAATAGATTAATATAGACACGCGTAGATACTGTGAAGCAGACTTTTTTATTTAGGAAATGAGACTAGCAATGTGATGTGCTAGCTTGTTAGTATTTTACACTGGACAGATGTTGTGGGTTAACCCCAGTGGCGATTTATTTTGGAACTCCACAGCATGCTATACTTACATGTAATCTATGTACATATGGCCATTTTTAAAAAATGCTGTTTTATCAGAGAGGCCTGACTACGTCCCTGTCTTTCAGGCTTTGAATTTAGGGCAGAGTACAGCCCAGGTATCTCTTGAACCTGGTCTGAGGAAATTTTTTTCTGATCTGCATTCTTTCTTTGACACAGACTTAAAGAATTAGAAGAAAAGTCAAGAAAGTGGGAGTCCAGATCAGAAGATACACACCTTATAAGCTGCCTGCAAGACAAATTAAGTGAGAGAGAAGAGATTATCAAGCAGCTGGTGGTAAGATTTCCTTTTATATGTACATACATATTTTGGAATCTGTTGGAAGGCTCTGTTGAGTGTTTCATACATTGCTTCAGACTGATATTTTTTTTCTGTTCTGGAATACTTTGACAAATACATGTTTCCATACCAACTTCCAACAAACAAATGTTTTCATACACATAACTTTCTTTCCCCTTAGGAAGGAAGAAAATTTCAGCATTCAGTTTTAGCTAACACTGAATCTTATAGGAATCGATCATTTTCTTTCAACCCTAATACAGGATGCTTGACTCCTTCCATGAAGGTAAGATGGTGGACAAAGCAATTAAAATAGCAAATCATCGTATTTTATTGCTACTTGAATCATACAGATGATCAGGACAATAAAGGTCCTATTAATTTTTTATGACAATGTTATTCATAGAATTCTTTCCAGTAAGCCAGCTAGGTGCTGAGTGTAACATATATTCAGCAGAAATGCACATAAATACAGCTGTTTAAGCAAATATAAAGCTAGAGCCCCAAAGAACTCAAGTCTTTCACTGGGATAAACACAGCCGTTGCTTGCAGATTTGGGAGTTGCTATTAGGGATATTGCATGCATCAAGCAAAATTATGAATTGCCTTTAGGCTGCTCAGGATTTGCCCTTTGTCATTCCAGCCCCTCCATATGATACTGTCTACAAATAGTCATAGAAAGAAGGGAGCTTGAGTTGGTGGAAAGCACCTAACTGAGCTTTGAGTATCCCTGCAAAGTTATCGGCTTTGATGTACCTGAAACCTCAAGGTCAAATACACAAGTTGTTTTAGCTGGATTGCCTAATCCATGGATCCTCACAGTATACCCTGAGAATTTATTTTAAATACCTACAGAAAAAGATGAGAATCTTAATTTTTGAGTGCTCCTCACAAGATACTAGGAATGAGGTATTACTGAGATCTTTATAGTATAATGTGTAAAATAAAAAAGTGTGTGTAATGAAGTTTTCTGTTACGATGAAAAGCAGCAGAAGAAAATGGTTGAGGTGCCCAGTCGTGTTGTCAGTGTTCCGAATCTAGCTTCCTACGCAAAGAGCTTTCTGAGCTGTGACTTGAGATCAAAAAGAAGTGCTCCTCAGATAACAAAATCTACAAGCTTAGACCGGAGTCCTGGCTGCCTCAGGGTGGGCTCTCCAGCAGCACAGTCCTCAGACATCAGTGCTGCAACAAGGTATGTGTCCATTTTGCAATTACTTGTACGATGTTAAATGAATTGATACTCAGAATCCTGTATGCAAGTCAAAGACATTAGAAATTCAGAAATAAACGATGACGTAAGGTTCCCGTCTTGCAGTGCACTCCATGTGTTCAGTTCTCTGTGGACAGACCCAGAACTTGACTGCAGGAGTAGGCTATAATCACTGCCCAGCAGAGCTTATGCTTGCAACCCATCCTGATACAAAAAAGAGGAGCACTGGAAGTATTTAGCTAAGGATGTAGTGAATAGTGAACACGGGCACGTATCAGTGGTTCTCTTAAGGATGTGTTTCCCTTCTTATTTTTGTTTCCTCACTTTGCACTTGGTAGATGTAGATGGCATATTTTTATTTGAGGAGATACTTGAATTAATCTAGGCTAATCATTTGGCAAGAGTTTATAGACTTAAAAGTTGATTAACAAATATTTAACTAGAAAATTCTTAGTCTGATGTTTTTTCTCTGAAAACCTTGAATATTTCTTCACATTTATTAGTTATTATTTAAACTATGTTTAGTGTTCTATAAACATGACTGAACTCTCTCTTCTAGAAACAGTTAAAAGTGTATGTAGCTAATATTATACAGAGTTATAATGATAGATATCTAAAATAAAACTCTCTCACTATACTTCAGGACAAAAGCCAGCTTTCTCACCTATCTCCTAGAGGAGATTAGTTATCCTGTAAATTGTGTGCTACAGAGTTCTTTCTTGAAAGCAGATGGTGTTGACTGCTGCCAAAGACAATAACCCAGGACACAGGCTTGGATCCAGTTTGGCAATTCCTACATCTTAAAGATAAAAGCATTCTGTGTCATGCCACACGGCTGGCAAGGCAAATCAGCTTTTATTTTAAAGGGACAGGGAGACTGAGGGTAGTTTGGCTGCTACTTAGTCTTTTAAATCAATCAAAAGTGAAGTCGTGTTTGCTACTATAAGCTAGCCAAAATTAATATAAATGTTAAAAATCATCCTGAATGCTGAAAAATCAGGGACTGTGTAATAGGATTATAAAAGCTAAATACAGCTAAATCTTTCAGTTCCAAATAAATCTTTTACCCAACATTTTTAATGCATAATTGTATTATTTCGTATTTTTAACAGTTAATTGCAGCTGCTATTTTCTGCTTTTCAAGACTTCCTATTCTTGAAGCATCTTTATTTTTTGAGATGTCAAGCCAAGAATTACATTCAAACATTTCTCCATCGCTGTTCAGCTCTCCTTCAGGCTTCCCTTTGTGTTACTACCAGTGCTGTTAGCACGGATCCCACTAGAAATTGTAGGTGGCACCTTCTGGCCTTATCCAGTTCCTGTGTGCACAGACCCATTCACAGGATCACGTGTCTTCCCAGGAAAAAAGTATTAAATATTGGTAAGATTGTAAGTAAGTGATGCTAATGCTTATTTGTTTGCACAGGACACATGACAATGAACCGCCACAAACCAAAGATGACCAAAAACAAGACACTAAGCATCAAGAATGGTTTACTAAATATTTTTCATTTTAAAGTAAACTATGTGCATACTTCTCAGAAATACTAGAAAAGCTGTTCCTGTTTTCTTTTAGGGAATGATAATCTAATATGGGATTGAGAAAAAAAAAAAAGAGGTGTAATTTCCAAGTAAATAATTAGGAGCAACTGCAATCTCTTACGTCTAATTACTATGGAGTTATAGGCATGAATTTCAGAAAAATGCATTTTTTTGAACAACTTCTTCAAAAATGAATAAAAACCAAAATTCCAGATACTGTTATGTGAAGAGACTTTTTAATCAAGAGACTGTACCACTCCACAATGATATTAAATATGCAGTTTGGTCTCTGATACATCCCGTCAGTCTGGCTTCAGCTGAAAAGATCTTACTTTTGTAGGTGACTTCTGTAGGTTTATACATCTACTTCATCATCTGTTTAAAATAATTTCTGCATATAATGTAATTTTTAAAGTTTTTAATAGGTTTTTGTTAAACTTATTTTAAGCTGTACAGCATGCAGTATACCTCCAAGAACAGCATGTTTATAGCAGGCTGGTTTAGAAATACTTTCTGGTTTGCTTAATAAACTGTTTTGTCTAGACAGCATTGCAATATATTCCTGTTGCACTTCAATACATGTAACAATCAGCCTGATAAATTAGGATAATATGTAAGTATGAACATTAAAACTTGCTTGTAAATCACCCATTTCCATGTTTTGCAAAATAGCGCTATGTTATGCTGAAGCGTGAGTCACACTGATACACTCCAAGTTCCAGGTTTAAGGGAACTGCGTACTTGTACATTTTATCTCAGTATTGCCCTTATGCCCAGCTAAATGCGAAGTGGGCCAGTGACAATATTTATCAGATCATGCTAGGTAACTCATTACTGGGAGGAAAGACACCCAGGAAGAAATTAACCCTCAGGTAATTCATCAACAAATGTGAAAAGCAGGGAATTTTGCAACCAGCAGCCTAGCGTTTAAGATATGATGTTCAACTGCTGTATGATTTGAATCCCCATTTAATTTCAGCCAGCAGGGCCCACCTATGTAACAAATTTTATGTGTGCGAAGAGGCGTACCTCCAGCCTAACCTCTTCTTCCATCAAACAGCCAGCAAGAACTGTACCAACAGATGCAAGCACTTACCACAAAGCAGCCACTGCACCTCACTCATAGTAAAAAGGTGGCAGAAGGGGCAGAATGCTTCTACAGGCCAATAGTTTCATCCCAGCTGTTTAGTATTTTTTCCATGATGAACTGCTTGGTTTGGAAGAAGACTTTAGGATCAGATTTGGCAAAAAGACACTTTTTATACACGCAATCAAGGGGATAAAATGGTGTACAGTAAGTAACACTGAGGAGTGCCTTGGCACCTGTGAGAAGATCAGAAAAGCACAGGGCCAAGTTTTTCGTTAGTTTTCATCCGCTCTGCCCCAAAAATTTTTAAAGCATGCCAGGAAGCTCACTACACAATTACTAATTTCCAGGGTTATGTTATTTTAATTAACTTTGTCCTCAAAATGGTGTCCCTAGAAAGTGGCTTTCCTGGCTATGCGGATGAATTAAGCTTGCCGCCCAGTAATACAGAGACAGGACTCCTTTGCTATTTGTACCTCCTGTTTTTTCTGGCTACATTTAAGATTACCAAATAGCACACCGCAGCAGCAGCTAATTCTGTAGACTGGGCAGTGCTGATGACCCACATGACATCCACAATGAGTGGTCTTTATTTTGGGGGTATTTTGGACGATCTCTACACTAGCCTGACAGCCAGACCACCAGTAACACTGGGCCTCCACTACACACCCGCCAGGGGCATGCATTTTGCAGTTTCATTTCATCCTGTAAGCATTTGCACATCTCAAGACCCCTTCATGAGGTGAGCAAAAGTCCAGTGGAGAGGGACAATTCACTTCCAAAAAAGTACACTCTTGATGTGAGCTATATACGGACAATTCTAAGGGTGTTTCTGCAGTGGGACTTATGGATAATTACTGGATCACAAAACATTTAAATCTTCCAGTAAAACCAAACAGTAATCTTTGCAAGTATTTTAATCATACCTGCAAAGATACAGTTAGGGGAAAGCTAGGGCCACCCTTTCTAGAAGGAACAGGCTGCTTTCTCGAAAACACACTTCTAACAGAAAGCATCTTGACTAGCAACTCTGCATAGTTTCCATTGAAATATAAAACCAATCCATATTGTTGGGAAAAAAAAAGGAATTTATTTCACTTAATTGTCTTCACTATTTATATTTGTATTACAAATTACATTATACAAAAAGCATACAAAGTGAAGAGACCACCACTGCTTTGCATGCTTGAAAGCGTTCAGATATGTAAAACCATAGATCACGTTTGCTTCATTGGAGCAGGAATATTAGCAGATGCTTGCTCTAGGTAAGCTAATGGACCTTGAGGCATTTCTGCAGGCTTTTTGTGCTGTACACTGATATCTTCCAGGACCTGTTGCCAGTGCCGCAGTTTACCCAAATGCTTCTGAATTAATGCTTCTTTTCTCTGCAATTCATTTCTTAATTCTGAAACATCCTACGGATGAAAAAATATGTATTAGTAAACAGACAGTATTCATAAGAACAACCACCTCGCATAAGGAGCACGTAATTTTTTTAGCTGAGTTTTGAAGCTGATTTTACAGGGATTCTAATAATGGAAAAGTGTCTAATGAAACAAGATGGAAAGCACTGGGAATGCACTAGTTCCGTTCCCTGGAGTCACGTGTTTCAGAGGTCATTACTTCCAGCAAAATTTGACTGCCTAGCTTGTTTCTTCCGATGACACTCTCATCTGTGTTCCAGTACTCTGCAGAGCAGCGGGCATCCAGCCTCTCCAGGCTCACGGTGAGAGAGCGATGTTTACAGTCGAGTTCTACCAACTTAGGATACAGCACCATGCTGAGAAACCCCCAATTACTGTGAACAAGGTGATTAACTGTACTGGTACACAGCTTAGCTGCTCTAGCACAACACAGGTCAATTAATTTAAATGTACCTCTTTAATGACTTGCTCTGGTTTCTGGACTGATAGCTGCAGTCGTTTTTGCAGAAAAAAGCATTCAGTTTGTCTCGCAACATCCAGAAACTTCTGGATGCACTGATCAACACCTAAACATAAATAACAAAATGGAAAGAACAGATGCCAGAAAAGAAGTTATCAGGCTGATACTGGTAGTTGACTGCACACTGTTAACAACGCTTTTCACAGTACTTTCTAGAAAGAGAATCTTCAGGCTTACCAAAATGACATACACATATATATATATATAACCAGGATGTGCATTAAGTCTCTGTATAAAACAATGCTTTGCAAACTTTCTGAATTTCTTTTAAAGGTGCAAGGCAACAACTCCTTTTCCCAAGTTTTATGGTGTTTTTGACAATGAGAAAGAGCAATAAAAGAATTTGTGGAACTTGGCTGAATAAAGAAAATATTTCACCGCCTGCCCAAGCAACAAGCTCAATGTAAGGTTCTAAAATACGGGCATGTTTAGAACATTCTGCCCCCCCATACTGGGCACTACTGTCTTGGTAAGGAAAGCCGTCCCATTCCAGCGTATGAACGCGACCCAATATCCAGCAAGCAGTCTTCAAAAGCATTTATGCTGTTTTCCAAAGGGAGCTTGAGAGTCTGGCTTCGGAAAATTTTCAGGAAAACGACACTTGTAAAAAGGAGTCAAGAGCCGTTTTTCACCGTGCTGCTCGTATCGGTTCGGTGTCGGTAAGCCTCCCGCCCAAGGCTTACACCGCTGCCGCCGAGCAGTCTCGGTCTCCCTTCCCCACCGTGTTCCAGGCCTCGCACCCGCAGCGCCTCATCAGGCCGCCCCGCGCAGCCCACCAGACCCCACCGCTCCCGGGCGGGTTTCTCTCCGTGCCAGCCTCCCGCTGCTGCGAGCAGCGTTCCACCTGCGGCGAAGGGCGATCAACCCCGGCGTACCCCAGGGCCATCCTCCGAAGGCCCTGAAACCGTCTTTAAACCTCCTCTG